AAGCCCCCTTCTTCCAGACAAACTTAGTATAACCTTGGGGAGAAGGTAAGAGGATGGGGGAGAATCTCATGCCCCCTCTTCCCCAAAGTGCCCCCCCCCCCAGCCCTTACTGCAGCAATTAGACCCATTAGCCTTCTAACATTTCATGGGAACCAGATGTTCTCCACCAGCCTGGTGGGAGTTTGAAGGGGGGCTGCTGCCAGACTCACCCCTTGCCCTATGATCCCCAACATTGAGGAGGAGTACCCCCACAGCCACCTAGAGCCCCACAGAGGCATGGTCCCAGAGGCAAACAGAAGCATAGCCCCTCCCTACCAACAAGACTCTTAGCACTCAGGGTCTCTCCCATGGTCACCCTTCAGAGTCTCTACCACCCAGGCAAGAGTGAGCTTGGCCAACAAGGGACTGTGGGGGAGGAACAATTTAGGCTCTCCCTGGCACCCCTACTGGATGGGGGCTGGAGGCTAACACATTCTGAATTCCTCATGCTAAATTCTCCTTTTCTTACAAAAACCCTCTTCTGCTCCAAAAACCAAAGAGGGGGCATTTCAAAGCAAAGCAGGCCCCTCCTGGAAGGGTAAGTCTTAGAAGTCCCACCTGAAGGGTGGGGAGCCCAAAGCCAGGGGAGGGATCTTTGGAAGAGGGGGCAGCAGAATTGGGAGGAGGGAATAGAGAGGTGTGAAAAGGGATGGGCCCCAAAACAAGGATGTGGGGAGTACTGGGTAAGGGGGTGGGGTGGGGCTAGGACTGGGTTGGGGGCCAGGGGAAGGGGGTGCAGCCCAGGCCCCAGTGGCGGCAGCTAGCCCAACTCCCCCCGCCAGAGAGGTTTCCTGTTGCAATCAAAGCCCCGTTTGTGTCGGGCTGGAGCTGGAGCTGGAGCCCGAGGAGGAGAGCAGGGGAGGGGAGGGGAAAGAGGCGGTCGGTCGGCTGGGGTTTTTCCTGGAGGAGGCCTCCCTGCTGCCTGCTTGCCACCGGTACCCGCTGGCTTGTTCCCCTGGCTTCTCCCAGCATCTGCGCTCTCACTGTGTCCGCGCCTTTTGGCCTGGTGTCTCTCTCCCCCTTTTCTTGTTTTGGTCTCTGGGTCTTCTTCTGTCTCCTTAAAGTAGGAGGACTCTTTCTCTCCTTGTGCCAGCCTGCGCTCCGTTTCTCCATGTGGCATAACGTGGTGAAAGCAGACCTCTTTGCTTGTCCCACAGTAGCTGGCCTTGTGGCTGGGGCACCACCATCACCAAGTACAGAGGACAGCCTGGGCCAGGACCTCAGGGTACAGTGATCTATTACCTCAAAAGGAGGAGGAGGAGGGCCAGGCTTCCCTCCCCTCAGATAGCATCCTGTCCCCCTGTACTCCTGATCAAGTGTGCCTAGGTTCACAGAGATGGGACACACCAGTTTCGGGGTTTCTTCTACACACCCCTTTGTGCTCCCATGCACACCACGGGGGGGCGGGCACATACTACGCCCCTCACTCCTCCCTTCCTCCACTCAATGGCAGGAGGACCCCAAAAAGTCCAAAAGGTAAGGTATGACTTTCCTTCGCAACCAGGAGACCCCTAAAGTGCCAGGGACCCAGAAATAGGGTCTAGGGACCAGTCCCAGGGAGAAGTTCCAGGCCCTACAGGGACCACCCTGCCTCCCATAGAGTTAAGAGCCAGACGGTGACTAGAGAGAAGCCAGCCCAGGGTAAGCAAGGCGGTGACAGGAGACTCAGGTCTCCAGTGCCTCTCCATTCCAGGGTCACAGGCCAAACAGTCAGAAAATGAGTGATAACACCCTGTCCCACTCGGGGAGGTGACCTGGCTTCCAGAACCCTTTTCTTTCCTCTCAACTCCCTGGAGGTACCTCCTGCTCCACCCCCTCCAAGCTCCATGGGCCAAAGTCTCCCCCTTCTCTCTCTGCTGACAGTGCCACTCTGCCCAGGCCTGTTCCCCACCGCCAGCCACACCCTCCCAGCTACCTGCCCTAGTTCGGCAACTCCCTCAGATTTCTCCTCTCAGCCCCCCACTTTTCAGGGCAGCCATTGAGGATAAAACTTGGTGGGAGGGGGAGAACCCCTTCCCTACCTTGACATCACTTTGAACCCTGACCTAGATCTCAATATGTCCAGGACAACTTTGCTGGAGGGGTACCGGACTACTAGCTGCCAACATTGCCCCCTGGCCATCCCCACCCCACGACTGTTGTCCTTGGCTTCCGTCGCCTCTCTCTCTCAGAGACATTCAAGTCTCAGGAAATTGACTTGTCTGGTTCCTTGCAAGAAGTATACTCATGGAGGGTGGGGGTGGAGGGGGGAATGGTTCTTCCCACCTCCTCAGACACTTGGGACAGACTCAGGGAGGTGAAGATGAGGTAGGCAGAAGCCCAGCTGGGGGCTTCCAAAAAGGTGGGGGTGGGTGGGAGGGATGGTTTGTGCTTTCTTATTCACCTGTATGCCCCCCAAATAACCCTGTTGTCGGACTGCAGACACACGTCAAATGCCAGACACACCGTCAGCAGTCCCATTAAATACCTCCTCCCTCCTCACAGGGGCTCTGTGTGGCACACGCTGGAGTTGTGTGCCTAACCTGGGTCTTGGGGGGCTGCCGGGCACACATGGTCTTCCCACACTTGCACACATGCCGTTAGAAACACACATGCCTTCCCCAGAAAGGCAGCACACTCTTTCCAGTGGAGCAGCCAGCCCCGTCTGGGCACCCCGTTACACACACACACACACACACACACACACACACACACACACACACAGCAAGGGCCCTGTTCTGCAGGCCTGGACCTCTTCCCTTCCACCTCTTCCCT